TGGTAAGACAAGTAATAATGTAAGTGGACAGGAAATGTGCAACCACCATAACGAATGATCGTGGTAAGACAAGTAATAATGTAAGTGGACAGGAAATGTTAAAGTAAATATTTTATCGTTGAAAAACTGAATTATCTGATACTCGAAACCGTAAATCTTAATGGCTCAAAAAAAAACAGTAAGACTTAAGACTAAAATCAGTGATTCGATATTATATAATTTCCACAGAAATAGCGACAAGCAAATTAATTTAGCAAGTCTTACCTTATGAAATATTATATATTACAATATTCTATAAAATGGCCAAAAATTAAACCATTATTTTTCTTTTCAGATTGGTTTTACGTTGTAATAATTTTATAGAAACTATTTGGTTTGTTATATATATACATATATGTAATTTGTGCTGAGTTAATGTTTCTTGGAATCACAAGACTAAATTTATATTTTAGATACAAACTAGTACAGTCCTTACATTGTTCTTTTTAGCTTTTAAATTCAAACGATGACAACAAAAGAAAAATCAGAATTCTTAAACTAACAACTAAACCAATAACCGTTAAATAGAATTATTAAAATTAAATGTTTAGGAGTTTTGTTCAATATCAAATTCATTGTTAATGATGTTTTTTGCAGTCATAATGTAACCGTATTCTTCATAATGAAGATTAGAATTAGTTATTTGCAGCTGAGTATAAAGCTTAACACGCTATGTTTATCTGTTATTTTTTCTTTATTTCAGATCAGGTAATTTACGCTTTCTTCCATGCAGTCCAAGGATGTTAAAACTCAAGTTAAAACAGAAGAGATCATAAGAATACTTCAAGAACTATAAACCACTGGATACTGATGACGGTCAGCAAACTGAGTTTGAATAGTAACCTTAAAATCTTATAATGCTTAAGAGCAACCCTCGCCATTCTAAAACAGTATTTTGTATGTACTTGAAACGAGGAAAACAAAGAATTCTGTGTATTTCTAAAAGCAGGCTAACAGTATATTTGTTCTAGAAAATCCTACATATTAACTTGAAACCGGTATAAGTTTAGCATCTTACACGTACGATCAATAAAGACAGGTTGGTGTACAGATCTGTAGAGGTTATTTTATTCAAGATAAATATTGTTTATCGATTAAAACGTAAGAAGCGTATGGATTTTGTAACTAGAACTAATTTTGTTTAGTAAATAAAAGACGTAAAACATTTAACACCAAAATACTAAGACTGTTTCTTTTTTTATTTGTGAACTTTTTTACCTTTCATTCCAGTGTTTTCTATTCAATTTTACTTGTTGTAATTTCCGAAAAAAAGTACTTAGACCATTTTAAATAGAGGTAAACGGCCATTCATATTCCCACTTCTTCTCATCCAAAAGACTTATCTTCTCCTGACAGCCAGTTTCGGCAACAATAAACAGCAAGTAACAAGCGTACCGAGAACTGGTTTGTTTTGATATATTGTAAGATCCAAGAGTCAGGAAGTTTCTTTAAAAAATACCGCAGAGTGTCTTCGTCTAGTTTCTCTCTATATATATATGCGGTATTTTTTAAAAAGTTTTAATCTTTCTCCATTGAAGATTCAAAGATAATATGCGAGTGTCTTCGTCTAGTTTTCTCTCTATATAGCATATTATCTTTGAATCTTCAATAGAGAAAGATTAAAACTTTTCCTAGCGAATAACATTGTTATATTTGATACTTTCTACGGTCACCAAGAGAAAAAAAAAAGTGTTAATCAACAACGTATTTTTAGAACGTGCTACGTCTTAGCACAATATATCCGAAATATAATGTAAAAACATAGATATAAAAACAATTTTTAACTAATACCTCCGGTGATTTAAGTACATTACAGTATAACAGTTTGAAACACTTGAATAGTATTGTCCATTAGAAATAAATCCGAACACGATAAAAGGTGGAGAATTTCGTAATCATAACATGATTATACATGAATTAACGTCGTAAATATTTCACGTACCTAGGAGAACGTGTGATACAAAATTATGTGACAGACAAACACACTTACATAAATATTCCTCAATTGATTTCATTCATAATTAAAATCCACCTCATAAACTTGGATCTTAGCTATGATGAATTGAATGATGTCTAACAAGGAACTTTAGATTACACAGTATTATTGTATAGAAATATAATATTCAGAGGTTCTTTGGAATCAGGAGAATATGACTTCATTATTAATACAAAGTTTAGAGTAAGTATCAACATTTTGTACACATCATTACTAAATTAGATCCACTTCTTTATTCGCGTATGTTTTCTAATTTAAAATTATTCAAGATAAAACTATTGGAAAATAGCTTTATTTATCTATCTATATGTGTTGGCGAGAAATATTAGCGTTTGCGTGTCATGATGAATTTAAAGCATTTAAACGTTATATACATTTTGCTTGAATAATAGTGGTGTAGTGTCGGAGGGGTATAACAATAATGGTGTAGTATCCGAGTTATTTAACATTAATGGTATAGTATCCAAACTAAATATGAAAATATTGGTGTAGTATTCAAGCGAAATTTGAAAATAATGGTGTAATATCGGAGGTATATAACAATAATGGTGTAGCATTCAAATAATATATGAAAATAATGGTGTAATATCCGAGGTATACAACAACAATAGTATAATATCTAAACTGAATTTGAAAATAATGGTGTATGTAACAATAATGGTGTAGCATTCACATTATATATGAAAATAATGGTGTAATATCCGAGTTATACAACAATAATAGTATATAGTATCTAAACTAAATTTGAAAATAATGGTGTAGTATCGGAGGTATGTAACAATAATGGTGTAGCATTCACATAATATATGAAAATAATGGTGTAATATCCGAGGTACACAACAATAATGTATTATAATTACTCGTCAAATAACGTATATGCATATATAGTTTATTACTTTATAGTGACGTTTAGCTATTTCTTGTTAAATGAAAAATAACAATACACATATCACTAATTAAAAATTTCTACATAAACAAAGCGATTTCATTCTTCATAGATACGTTACTCTTTACTCCATTATATTTTAACATAACACACAGATTTTCCCCCTGGTTTTACTTCATAAACTTTACATATATATATCTGACACAAACTAGAAAAACGCGTAAGATTATATTATTTGATAGATTGTTTAGACAGAATATTCACGATGAAACTTGGTTAAATGGACGACAACTGCCTGTTGTAGAAACACAAGTGTAGAGGACGACGTTTCGAAAGTCTTCAGCCTTTCGTCTTCAGACCCATTCAACCAAATTTCATCGTGTAAGATGATGTTTGTCTTTGAATTTTTTTTTTTTGCATCCTTAAGAGGAAAACAGAACTTATACCATGTGATAATTTTCTTATGTTCTTTATTTATTGAAATGCTTTACGTTCATAGTTCACTGAAAAGGAAATAGCTAAATAGAAATAGAAAAAAAAGGATCAATTTAACAATTTTATGTTTTTGTGCAGAAGTTTCGTTTAGAAATGGAAACACTTAGATGTTTTTACCGATCACCGCAAATAAGTAAAACTACCCTCGTGAAATAATAACGTTACTTACTCTTGCCAGACAAACAACGTCTAAAAATTCTAATAAATTACCCTGTAGCTATGTAGTGCACTTAACCAAGACTTTGAGCTCTCACTAATATTACTTTTTTTTATATACGTATCTGTAAAAAATCATTTTTAGGGTCTGTGCTAGTTTTTCTCAGTCGGGACAGAAAACATTACATTATCCTGAAACGGTAATAATAGGTAGGCAAACAACGATTTATAAGCATGAGGAAAAGTTTACTGGTGGTGGAACATACTAGATGTTTCGACAGAACATTGGTCTGTCTTCTTCGTCATACCTGAAGAAATATCTAGTATGTTCCACCATCAATAAACTTTTCCTTATGTTTATAAATCTTTGTTTGCCTACCTATTATTATATTAGCATAATGTGTTTACTTACCCAAGTATCCTGAAACCGTTTTCCATTTTCTCTTGGCATTTTTGGGTAAAATAAAATATTGGATCGTGCAGGGTTGAAGTATTTCATTTATGGGGGCTTATAAATTATTCGTGTCCACTATATCTATATATATATCGTCTAGCTAGATGGATGTTAAATTCTGAAATTATTTTTAACATTATTCAGAGTGGAGTTACAGTTTATTCGTTACTCTTGTCGACCCACTTTCAGCTCGCAGCCCGAAACTGTAGCTTCTTTCAACTAATGAAATTACAAGTTAAATAACTCGAGACATCGGCGAATTTGGTTGTATTAGAATCCTCAATATGTGTATTTAAAATTCTGAATATATTACTGTTTCAAAGAGGCCCGTATATATATGTTTAGAGGTTTATTAGCGGCCTGTGACCATACCAGCCCAGTTAGGCCCGAGACACAAAAAATAATAATAATAAAACATTCAACTTCACGTAGTGCCGCTTACTTATCCATTATTAAAACCTGCCAACCTGAGAATTCTAAATAATCAACTACTCTAGCACGGACCATCACGTACGCGAAATTTATGTGAAAGTTCGGACTTAATTTTCTAACAATTTCAAGCACGAAACAGTAAAGAATATATCAATGATTATAAATTATAAAATAGCATGGAAACAACCATTCACACGCTTAATTAATGTTCTTTCATGAACAGTATTTTTCCATTATTTTGTACATGTCAATACGCAAATTACAGTTGCTATTACGTATTATTATTAATGAAATGCTCTTGTTATTTAAAACTATTTTTATATGAACCATGAATAACTCCTGTTCTATTTTCTTTATTTTTTTAATTCATTGATGTTATATTTTCTTGTACAATTCTCCAATAGTTTTAAATGATTCACTTTTTTTATTAGTGATAACTTCCTATACGCAGTTAGAGCGAAGTTAAAAATCAAACTGGCCATTAGTATGGCTAATGAAAAATGCTTTTCTTACAGTTTTTACTTATACAGTTTAAAATGCATTGTTTCACAAATATGGTGTCTTTGCTATTCAATATGTTTACAAAAAGAAATATAAAATCGTCTATTCTGGATGTAACCTGTTTACAGTTACATGGAGTATTATACACTGTTCATCAGTTATCAGTAAAATTAACTGAAGATGATGTTTACGTCTTTTTGATAATTGTATCATTTCAACGAAATATCAAACAATATTTCATATTTTCAAACAGAATTTTTCCTATCTCACCTTCAAATAAAGCTATAAGTGTTTAAGCTCTTCAGATAAAACTATAAGTGTTTAAGCTCTTCAAAAAACAAAAACAAATTAAACACGTTGAATACAACATCAATTCAAATGAATTCAAGCTAATAGGTTATGAATACTTTACTTCTTTCTATAAAATATGTTTCATAGATATTAGCAACATTCATTTACGGACATCGTTTGAGGTACCATTAGTTCCAGGCAACATTCTCTGACTGAGCAGAACATGTATCATTAATTGAATGTGACATTCTCTGACAAGAGAACATGTAACAGTAGTTTTAAGTAAATTTTTTTGGTTGAGAACACATATCATTATTTGTATGTGACACACGTGGCTTTGTGTTTAATTACAAACAAACCTCTGACTAAGAACAACACGTATCATTAATTGAATGTGACATTCTCTGACAAGAGAACATGTAACAGTAGTTTTAAGTAAATTTTTTTTGGTTGAAAACATATATCAGTAGTTGTATGCAACATTCTCTGACTAAGAACAACACGTTTCATTAATTGTATGTGACATTCTCTGACTAAGAACAACACGTATCATTAATTGTATGCAACATTCTCTGACTAAGAACAACACGTTTCATTAATTGTATGTGACATTCTCTGACTAAGAACAACACGTATCATTAATTGTATGTGACATTCTCTGACTAAGAACAACACGTATCATTAATTGTATGTGACATTCTCTGACTAAGAACAACACGTATCATTAATTGTGTGCGACATTCTCTGACTAAGAACAACACGTATCATTAATTGTATGTGACATTCTCTGACTAAGAACAACACGTACCATTAATTCTCTGACTGAGAAGAACAATAATCAAAATGTCTACTTTTCTAAAGCGTTACTTCTCTTATCAATATTAATCATTAAACTTATAGAAAACATAATTATAAAAACTTAAAAATGAATAAAATATGTTTAAGTTACAATATCACTTTCGTTTCTTTCCATAAAAGACGTATACCTGATTCTTAAGTTCTATCTAATTCTCAATTTGGTCAAAAAACAAATAAATTACACAACTTAACAAAGTCCATTCAGAAATAAAACAATCCAACTAAAGTAGAGTGAGAAAACAACAGAAAAACTTAACTTTTCCTTGTCAAACCATACAGACAATAGAGAACGCGACCTATTCCAGTGACGTCACTGGTTTCATAATCATCACATGGTCATGGACGGGAAAATGTTAGTGTGAATAAGGTTTCTACTTTGCGGGATGTGGCTGTATTTACTTACGATGGATCTTACTAGAAACAGTAAGGTAAGATGTAATATATATATATATACATTAACCATAGGGGTTTATAAAAAAGAAATTTTACAAGTCCTAACTACCTATGAAAGCGCGTGTAACTTTTAAACTTGATATGTATAATCAACATAAGAAGGATGCCTGAGAGCTAATGCTATGTTCTGCAGTGTAAATCCAGGGAGGGGCGTCCAAGTGTGAAGGCTTTTGCTCTCGTCTCCTTTGTGATTGGCGTCACATTCCTTTTTAAGCTCTCGTCTTCTTTGCGATTATCCTTACATAACAGCGAATGGCCATCATATTCTTTTTTAAGTGTGATATTATTATTACATCAACTTGTCTCCATCAATATAAATTATGATTCAACCAGCTGCCTTTGAACTATACATCAGTAATTAGAGGTATGGCGAAGTTTCGTTTTTATCACCTAGAAACCTGAAGTTTCAGACAGTGGTTTCTGCAAGTTCTTCGATTAAATTCTCAGAGCTGTAAGTTTTTTTTTTAGTCCATTATCGCGAAAATAACTAATTGCAGCTAAAAAAAGAAACTAATAAACATAAAAAGAATAACGTCTTAAAATGATCGAATGTTGAGGGTTCCTATCCGGCTATGTTATTATATTTCAAATGAAGACTTATAAGACTGATGTGTTCATGAAGCGTATGAATCGTGCATGAAAAGCTCTTGAGCGATGAGATAGAGTTCATGAGCTTCATTTTTTTGTTAACATTTAACTAAAATGCACAACAAACTTTACCCAAGCTTTTGGAAAGAATATGTTACTAATACTGTTGGCGAAGTTCTTTATTTCTTCGTTAAATTTTCTTTTAATTCTGCGTATCGTGAAATTCAAGTAATTTTTATATTCATTACAAACTGGTGTAGTTTTATTTTAACTCTGCGTATCGTGAAATTCAAGTAATTTTTATATTCATTACAAACTGGTGTAGTTTTATTTTCACTCTGCGTATCGTGAAATTCAAGTAATTTTTATATTCATTACAAACTGGTGTAGTTTTATTTTCACTCTGCGTATCGTGAAATTCAAGTAATTTCTATATTCATTTCAAACTGGTGTAGTTTTATTTTAACTCTGCGTATCGTCAAATTCAAGTAATTTTTATATTCATTACAAACTGGTGTAGTTTTATTTTAACTCTGCGTATCGTCAAATTCAAGTAATTTTTATATTCATTACAAACTGGTGTAGTTTTATTTTAACTCTGCGTATCGTGAAATTCAAGTAATTTTTATATTCAATAC